ACCGTTTTCTGCAGAAATTTTCAACGTCTTGATACCCATCCGAAAGTTAACTCACACAGCAGTTGACTGAACATTTGCACGAGCACAGGGAACTGCCAGTACCAACATGAAACAGCATTAGCAACGTGTCTGCATGTGTTTATTACTGTATGACATGTCTCTGAAGGTATAGTATGACTAGCCAGACTTGAGTAGACGCTGCTGTCATGCAGGATGGAAAACGTTCGGATTTCTTCGGCTGCGCACCAACACTGGCATAACGGCGTAATACTGGCCGTATTCTATGTCATGGAGCGTTTCAACAACTGTGCTTTGAAAAAAGCTTGGCCGTATATACCGACCGCAAATCGCTCGTGTCTGTAGTAACTGACTATCTGCACAACCTTCATCCTCCCCATGGACAGTACGTATATTCCAGTTACATAGATATTCCTCGCTAAGTCGAAAACTAACCTATGGGCATTTGAGTATTTGTATAGTAGATACAAATAACGGATGATCACCCAAACATTAGTCGTCTCGCAGAGAAAGAGACTAGTAGTACGCCGTTAAGAGAGGTTATCTTCAAGCGGTAGTCAGGGCCAAGTTAATAGCGTGCAGACGAATTGACCTCCTACCTCAGATTCTGGGATGGACCAAGTATCCATAAAGTCTTGTCCTTCAAAGACACACATATTCCGACTCCACAGTCAACCTGTAGATTTAGGCTGAAGCACGCACATTAGGCTCATCTGGGGATAAACTCTGGCATTAGCAGTGTTACTTAATTAGCGTCACAGCCAGTGTTCATCAGTCAAGATAGGGATCACGGATAGACTTTGGCATCCGCCTCCCATTTAGACCTCGGTGGACCAAGAAACCAATAATGGACATCGTATGTTGAACATGAGAGAAGTTGGAAGTGGATGTGTTTCCGGGACGGCCTTACAATGCGTCGTCATAGTAGGTATTTCGAAATCAATCCACATATCATGATAAACCCTGAAGTATCTGTAACTATAAACTCAGATGCCAACTCAGATCCCCAGATACCTGGGGAAATCACTCTCTGATCTGGACACTCCACTCACAGGCACCGCGTTTCAGATCTTGGCAGATATGTAGGACTTTTGTATACCAGCTCGTATAAAAGCCAGTCAAACGGATTAACCGATGACACAGTTTAACAAACCAGCTGAATGTCACAAAACGTCTAGGCCGCTCAGGTGGATCCGAGCGTTACGCGGTTGGAGAACCGCAGTGCCCCCTTCATATAGTATCGATCTAAGTCGAAAGAGGCACCTTTAAACCAAAAGGACGAAAATTCTGGGGCATGCACCAGCTACACATTTATGTTGCGTTTCTTCATCACATAGGCTACTACTGAAAGGTTTAATAAAACAAACTCCTGCGCAAATTTTCTGTCAAGTGCACAGTGTACGGCCGATTGTTGCACTGATAAGGGGGAGAAGTGTAGCTTCAGTCTGTACCGATGTGAGAGAGCGGTGAAAGCTGTAGTGACTGTGAACTTCGGTGCAATTTCATATAAAGTCCATACTGGATGGAAAATAATCAAAAAAGCCAGTACAAATGATACAATACCGAAGTCGACAGGGCAGACCCAGAGCAAGTGGCGCCCATATTATGTTGTCTATACAGGGTGTCCAGTTCGATGGAGGCTAAAAGATTGAAAATTGTGGAAAGGTCGAGTCAAAGTTGGGAGCTGGAGCCAAAAGACGAAGTTGCTAGTCATTGGGAGTCCAAATCGACGAATTCAAGCATTCGACACGGCAGACGTAGCCGTCCGTCTACGCCGCTCGGCTGATTAGCTGACTGTAGAATGTGATATGCTGCAATACTTGCCGTTTCGTTAAGTAAATCAATGTGGGAGCCTCAATGGCCAAATATGCCGTTGTTATTGAAAGCAAACGAAAAACGTATGTGTCGATGTGTTCAGCGTTTCAGGTGTTCTGTCCTTTTCTTTTGTTCGTCCTTGCCTAATAAAGCATTTATCCCAGAAGGATGGTGTTTCCCGACATGGCGAAACCTGTACTTTTGAAATGTTTTACAAACTTAACAACAGTTGTGATTACAAGTGAATAGTTAGGGAATTTAAATGATCTAAGTAGCAATTCATCACATCTAAATTCACTCAGACAGCCATCACACGCCCGGAAAGGCACTTACCCTGCCGTTTGATTCTTTCAAGAATCATCAGCCGTGCACATTCTATCTGGCACTTGTGGGGTCCAAAACCCTCAACCCAGGGTTTCTAATCTGTAGTTGGTAACACTGGGCTACGAGGGACGGTAACAATCGAGGTGACTAAGTTACCAGATGTGATATAGCACCACTGTCTGACTGTCTAGATGTAATGAAACTGTACTTAAACCATCCAGGTTCCCCCTACTACTCCTCGAGATCAGTAAGCAGAACAAACTGCTTTCTATAAGTTAGTTGGCGACCTAAGTTCGGTAAGTTCGTCGTTGGTTGAGGAGACTAGCTTGTCCTCTGCACGAAGGTAACGTGCAAGTCATTCACTAGTGAGTGGCGCGGTATCTTATCATTGCCGTCCACAGGAGTGCAAAGGTTTTCAACCCCAGAGAGGCCACAGTCGAATTTCGGATTCGAGCCCCATAAGGGTCAGGTGGAATACACAATCCTGACGATTCCAAAAAGGATGCAAGAGCTGTACAGTGTTTTCCAGGCGCGTGATTGTTGCTTGAGTGAATCTAGATGTGATGTGCTTGTATTTACTAATGGTAATCTTTGTAACCTTATTAAAGTGAAGATAAAAGAAGTGAGCCAGCAGCAACTTCGTCGGATGAGGTGGTTAAGCATGAGTGCCGCGGTCTATCCAACTAGGTGTACAGGCGTTGGTGGGAGCGATCACGCAGTTCCGTTGAAATAAAAAACATGAGGTTACTTCGCCTTTCAGTGAGCATATCCATGATATTTCTACCATTTCATCGGTCTTCGTGGGGTTACCGCTCAACTAGAAACAGCGTTCCAAAACGATGCATTTCGAGAAAGTCAGGTTTCCGGCACGTAATGCACAGTCTCGAATCACCGACAGAGAACGAAACTAAAGAGCAACGTTACTAAGGCTTCATATGGTCTGTGGCCAAAAGCCAGACGATAAACTACGGAAACCGTCATCATTACACCCAACAGATGGATATACTGTTTCTCAAAAACAGTGACCGGGCTCAATTAACAAGAAGTTTCTGTTGTGCCGCTGACATTGAATTAACCCAGAACTATTAACAGGTGTTAGGTTCAGGACTCAGTGAAATATTAACTATTGTTCTACAGCATGTAACGATTCTCATGTAATTTAACGTTTTGTAATTACTTCGATTTAAAACGGAGGAAAGAGTACATTAAGGATTAAACGTTTTCCTAAAAAGTATAAGTAATCCTTCAAGCCGAATTTATCTTGAGGAAAATCAGTATTTGTTACGCGTATTTTCAGAAAAATATCTCAGTTAACTGTGGAGTATGCCCGATAACGAAAGGTATAGACTTACCGTACATAAAAAACATATCTGAAATGACTACCAGATTGTCCAAACAACACCATATCATGTTATCCCACAAGCCCACCGCAATCCTGAGGGAAACATTGTCAAACCCAAAGGAAGAACGCGGAACGCAAGTACCACGGAATGCTATATATAGAAGACATTGTTGAGATTGTGGAAAACACTGGAACAAACAGGAAGGAAGCTCTAAACAAGGTTAAAGAACACAAAAGGGCATGCGAGACACATTCTGTAACCCGAGGAGAAACTCAAATGGAGGGAGTTTCTGGAAGCCTATTTGTCAACCACGAACTAGATTAACCTGCATATCGCCATCGATCCAATATACCAACCACTGAGACAGAATGATTTCCAATAGATTAACAACTGCTGTTCGAAATAACCCAATCAAACACCTAGACAATGAACAGAACGGTCGGTGTGATCCCAAACAGCTCACCCACGCCCATTGCACAAATCTGAGTGCGACATTACCAACCACATCGCAACAACATTTATGTAGCCAACGGTAGTGACTCCAGCACCACTACCCAACACCATGAATCACCAATGAGAACGAGACGAACTTAATAGCCCTGTACGCTTATATGAGTAACATAGTAACGACTGACAGTATCCATCATTGGGGTTGCCTTCTGCCAGCCTCTGCCACTTGACCGCCATCGATCCTGTACTGACGATGCCACCTCGAATGGTGGCGAAACGTTTGAAATTAAGTTGCCCTGTTCGGCGAACATCAAAGCAACCGAAGTGGCATATACTTCAGTGGCTAGTGCCTTAGCTGCAGAAGTTGTGCTTTGTTGCAAATTTGGCACCAAGTTTTTGACGTAGCCACAATGGCAATGCGAACGCGACTTCTTAGCAAGTAAATGCTCATCTATAGAAATCGGATGAACGAAATCTGAACAAATTAACTCATAAAAATTTCTACCTATTTTGCCGGTTCGTCAGTGTTACAGGTACAAGTGTTTTTCGCAACCAACTAACTGCTCCAGCATACCGAAGTCAAAGAAATCACCCAAAAATTTTCAACTATGCGCTGGTATCTAGAGCATCGTTCTTACACTCTGTACGCATAGTTTACCTGGTAGTCGTCCGCAGACTTCAGTGATCTGGCAATAACAGGGATCAACTTTCCTCTTCTACGCCTTTGATGCAAGCTGAATACAACTTTTCACCAGTGTGGTCAGCTTTAGTTGATGGTCTTAGAGAGTGCAAAGAAACGGCGCATTATAGTTAGTACTGTACATTACTGTTGTATTTGGCTAACCAGAACTGCTGATTATGTACGATTATTTTTATTAGTTTGGTCTTTGTGTGCAAAATCCGACCAGAGTAATGCCTATCACTTTACTAGAATACACAGAGTCAATCAATCCATATATCTGAACTCAGGATATTTCTTATTTACTATGTCATAAAACGTCCGTACCACGGAATCACAATGCTCATGGTTACAATATTTTACTCTGACAGGTGAAATCCGATTCGGGTTTCTCTCGACAGTTCACCAGCAAGCTGAGCCTAATAGATCTTGCAGGCAGGTGAGTTATCCGATTTACTTACTAAGTGATGCTGACAAATTGTTGTCCAACCTACAGATTATTCGCGCGTTAAAGTAAATAGATTTAGTGAGGTTTCTTTCGTTCATCGCAGTTAGAGCACCAGCCAGAGAAGCAAACTACTGACCTGAAAAACTACCAGACGACCTTTTCCTCCTCTTCAGATTCGTCAGGAGTGAATATTCGCTCGGTCCCCTTCAGGGATACTAACACAGGGCCGCTAAAGATTTGCAATGTTGGTCAGTAGCTTATGGTAATGAGCTATGAGGGATGATAGGTGAACGTCATGGATTGTAATCTAAGCACAACTTACAATCACCCACACACACGCTTGCTACTGCCATCAAAATTCCGCATGTTTCTATATAAAGAGACGCAACTTTTGTTAGGAATTCTGTCACTGGCGTGGGTTTGAAAGGTAAGAAGTTCAAACTAAGTTCAGCATCATTGTTGAACCTATGTCCTAAGCGTAAAATGTAATTCGTCCGCTAAAAACAGTCAGGAGTAGCCATGGATCTAATCGTGGAGTCACTTGATCACCAATCTACAAATCTTTCATTAATGATTTTCTCCGAAAAACTATGTTCGCTGTAGTGTTTACATGGAATGTGAAGACATACAGAGAACTGAAATGACAAAATAAACAAGATGTATATTGTGATGATACGTTTAACAGATTGGTGTACGTCTTTAATGAAGAGGCTGGTCTTGACCATGGAAAATACATGTGTTGTGGTTAAATAACATCCGACCTGATCTGACCGCATGAAAGACTGGTGATATATAACAAAACTCACGCAATGTAACCAAAGCTAGCGCGCGGTGAGACTTCACAAATACGTCTACAAACACGCCTTAGATTTCGGAATTGCATACAAACAACAGATTGGTATAGCTTGTGGGCAGTGTTTCGCTTTAAACATAGTTATAAGTAAATAACCCATATAAAACCTCAAGCAAATTATTTATGGATATTTCTGAAGAAGATGCTTGCTGGTATATGCAACTCGCAGTGCGGCTGAATTTGTCATGGGGTGCAATCTGCTGAGCGGTCAATACCCAGTACTGATGTGTTTTAGCTACAATCTCAGGGACCAACTTGACCCAGTTTCATTTCATGGTGAATCGTGGTCCACATTGAGATCGCGTGTCGCAATCTATCCATACAACTTGTACTTCAAAATGACACACAATCTCACTCATTAACCGTTGTGACAAGCGTGATGGCTAAGGAGTAGCGGTCACAACTACATCCCAATGGTCCAGGGTTCGATGTCTGATATCTCTATCTGACATCGGATAAGATTGAAACACGTAGTGGAGTTTGGTGTTTTAGAGCCAGCAACGCGCAACAACAACAACAAAAACGAAAATAACGACAACGCCAACACGGCCAATAGTACGATTGGCATAGTGCCACAACATATGGAAAATACAATAAACATATGAAGCTAGAAGGAAAAAAACGATGTTCATGGGAATAGTGAATCACAACAAGTTCGCCGTTGTGCACGATTTCTCAACATATCTTAGAGTGTTTCCAGCTATGTGTGTCCCGGATCCTTCACACTCCAGCCAGGGAGCCAAGAGCACCCGACTATGACTAACTTTGACATTAGCTCCTTCATGTTTCTGACCAAAGTCATACGTTGGCAACCCTGCTTTGGCTTCCAGCCCACTTCTGCGTGCGCCAAGAGGGCACGATGAGGTAAGCGATGAGTAGGCGTGCAGAGAACGTGCCCAAACCACTGACGTCTGTGCAGGGAAATTATACTGCTCAGTGGCCGGCAATTCTGTCTCGTCTGAAAATCCTTCGTCGAATATCTTCACTCCTAGTATGAAGTTGCCATCGTACACCAGCAATTCTTCGAAGGCAACAGTGATCAAAAACAGACAGCCTCTCAACATCCTTTGCGCAAACAGGCCAACTCTCGCAGCTATAGAGCAGAACCGCTCTTACTATGGCATTATAAACTCGGCCCTTAAGAGCTAGACTCCGAGCACCTCGATGCCAGAGATGGCGGAGATTGGCAACAGCAACCCGAGCATTGAATGCCCACAAGGAGACCTCACCTGTTAAACTAATAACGCTGAGGTAGCATCCGAGATGAACCAACTTTTCCACCACTTCCAATGAATGACCTGGAAGAGTAAGGTTAGTATCAGCGCCTAGGCAGTCCTGGAGGAAAACCTTGCATTTCAATGGTGAGAGATAATTCCAACTTAGAAGACCGACATCTCTAACCTACACAGGACACTTTGGACGGCCTGTGAGGTAGAACAGGTTACGGCGATGTCCGCTGCATACTCCAAATGCCGTAGTCGGTCTCCGGAAACAGCTCGACTCCGCTGAATTCGCACTTTTCAAGATTTTGTCTACAGCAAAATTAAACAAGCAGGGGATCATGGGCGACCCTGTCTCATGCCACTGGTGATACCAAAGGGGGGCAAAAGTCCGCCGTCCGCCCACACTCAACCCGAGGTTTGAGACTAGATGTTTTAAGGTAAGGTGACATACTTCTCGGGCACTCCCCTTCTCAGTAGACAACTCCAGAGAACAGCTCTGTCGATTGAGGCAAACGCGGCTGTAATGCCTAAGTAGACAACGATCGCTGGCTGGCCAAATGTTTGACGATGCTCGAGTATTTGGCGGAGTGTAAATATGTGATTGATGCAAGTCCGACCTGAGCGGAACCCAGCTTGCACTTCACGTATGCTCTGTTCAGGTACCAGGCTGGGCCTCGTTAGAAGCGGAATTGCGAGCACATTGAAAGTAGCACCGATGAGACCAATACCTCTGCGGTTGGCGCAATCAGATCGTGTACCCTTTTTGAAGAAGCGCACGATATCCGCTAGGATCCAATCAGATGAGCAAACTTCTGTGACCCAGATCTCTTGGAGGTACTCCTGAACAAGCGTTGGGCCGCCGTCTTTGGAAATTGCCGAAAAGCGTTAATCTGGGCCAGAAGCTTTGTAGCGCTTTAAGAGGCGAAGCTAGTGGGCAACCTCAACCACGGATGGGGGTAAAGCGTCTACTCACCAGGGATGGCTCTGTATTTCAGAATGGGAACTCATTGGCGTTGCTGGCCAATTAAACTGTTACTCAAAATGCTCGGCCCAAAGCTCCACCTGCGTTTTTGACAGTGGACTGGCCTGCCATTGGTTTGCATAAAACTTCGCTTACAATGGTCCTTTTGCTGCTAGTGGATCGGATCAGGAGGAAACGCTTACTGAAATCCCTATACATAGCCGCTTCTCCATCTCAATTACCCGCTGCGTCCACCAGGCCTTGCGATCTTGCCGGAGAAGCTGTTTGAGCTCAGCGTTAGTAGCCCTGCTAAAGGGTGTTTAACGCTAGCAGGAATTGATCGACTGGCTTCGAGAAGGTGGAGGGATCGTGTAGAGAGCCAGCAATTGACAAGACTACTGATAAAGCCACAGACCAGGGCTGCAGGGTTGTACATGGCGCCACGGATGTGTGTTCACTGTATTTCAGTGCCTGCGCATGAGACCGTCTTCAGCCGTGAGTCCAAGGCATCCTGAAATGCGCGGTGAACGTTCGGGGCGGATAGCTTAGCTACGTCAATCCGTTTCTGGCGAAGCTTCTGGGAACCACTAAAACGTAGCGCAACCCCTGCCCATACTAGCGTGTGATCTTAAATGAGATAGGTACTGCAGATTGCTTTGCAAACATTTTTGCTACCCCGCCAGCGATAGCTAATGGCAGTGTGATCAATTTATGTTCACGGCTGGCCAGGTGATGGGGGTCTCCAGTTGGCGCGTTGACTCCAGGATACCCGAAATTAGTGCTCGACAGAAAGAGGCCGTGATCGGCGCAAAGCTAAAGTAAGCGATCACTGTTTTCAGTTCTGCCTGTGCCAGGGCCGTGTTGACCACCAAGTTCACTTTCGTCAACTTCAAGTCTACCGACCTGCGCTTTCAAGTCCCCGGCTAGCACCACGATGTTGGTACGGCGCTTTTTAGGGAGCAGATCAGCGTTTAACCATAGAACGCATCATTTACTGACTCCGAGCTTGCAATCTGTGGGAGCGTACGCCGCGACAATGAATAAACAGCGTTCGCTGGCTTCGCGCCTGGACAGTCGCACTGAAGGTTCAACTCGGCTCGCGCATACTCAACTGTTAACAGGGAGTCAGACTAGTAGCGCGGCCTCAGCACGTGCGCTCAACGCAATCCCCACGCCAGCATAACCAGCGGCTTCGGCGGTTGGGTAGCCAGATAGGAGCAAAGTGAAAATGCCAGTGGAATTCGCAGACGGTGAAACTAATCGCAGTGTCATGCTAGAGTCCTGTAAACGAGTCTCGTTAAAACAGTGGCCGTAGTTTATAGAGTGCGCAAACGGGCTGCCTGTAATCCAATCTGCACCAGTGTCCGAGGATTGAAGGTTGCCAGCTTGAATTGGGAACGGGGCGTTAGAAATGGCTTGTCAAACCGACTTGGCTCATTTTCGGCCCTAGGCTTTTGATCCGCCTAGCGAGAACGATCGCCCAAGTAGCAACGATGTAGTGAACTCGAAAACGGAGGGGGAAGACCAAGAATGGGAGGTTAAACTAAAGTGGAATAAAGTAACTAAACGGTAGTGCGGTACAACGTGGCTTGGCAGGTTCAGCCGCCAGCAAGTCAGCCGATGAGTGCAGTTCGGGTGAGTGCAGGTAGAGCGAGAGCGGAGCGAGCAAGCGAAGAATTGTTGAAACATAGATCCATAGGTTGTGTGGGCATATTAATTCCCGCTTGCGCAAGTCGAGGAAAAGCAATGACTTAGGGGACCCCACCCGGAGCCTTGGGTCATAAAGATCTAACCCGCAAGGCAGTGGGCCGATTGACGTATACCGCGACTGTTGGGAGCCGGCTCGCTAGTTGAACGGTTTTAGAGTGGAGGCAAACTGCTCAGAGCGGCAGCAAGGACTACCGAAATCCCCGCGAAGCACGAAGGTCGTTGACAGCCGAGTGGCTCATAGGCC